GTCTCCCCTTTGAGAGACAGCCCCAGGTCTGGTCATAAACTCTTTGGAACGAAAATTCTCTTATACAAGTTTTGTTTAGGAGCCTTAAACTTAACATTATGAGGTAGGTATTATTGTCATTCTTATTTTACTCATAAGTAACAGGAGGCATAGGGAAGTTGACTTGCTCCTTGTCTCACAGATTTTCAATAATGAAGCTGAAATTCAAACCCAGGTAGCATGATCAGGCAGCTATATCTTTGCTGCTTACATCTATAGAACTTTGAAGAAAAACAAATTGCGATGCAAAGAGGTTATTGATGTGTACCAGAGTTTAGAAAATATACCTCACATCCATGTATTTTAATACCTTCTCAAAGTCTTCCTCCAAATTACCAAGCCATTAATCACAGTGAATTGTATAACAGGAAATTACAGAAGAAACAGACTGGTAGTAAGCATCAAACTACTAAAATCTTAGAACTAAAGGTTTAAAAGCAATAACCTCTAACAGAGAAACCAAAATTTAATTTGGGTACAAAAATGCTAAGGTCAAAATAACTTTTGACACATTTTTTGAAAGAAGTCAGACCTGTCCCTTAGGCCATTTGTTGGCTATCATTGTCAGATGGGGCCTGCATGGCTCATGGGAGGAATTAGGTTGCAGCTCCTGAGGGTGTCCTCTCTGGCCCTGGCTACCTCCTGAGTTATACCTTACTTCTAAGTCCCGTTTTATTTTTGTCTTCCAGCTGAAACTAAGATCTGCTTCAAATACTACCATGGAGTGAGTGGAGCCCTGCGAGCTACTACCCCTAGTGTCACAGTAAAAAACTCAGCAGCTCCTGTAAGTTCCATTCCTTCCTCTTTGGTCAGACCTAACTCTAATGCTTGTTTACTTTTCCATTTGTTCATATGTTTGTGTGTGTGTGTACATGCATGTATGAAGACATATTAATAGATTATGAATAGACAGACAGAAAGATATGCACCTCAAAATAATAAAAAGGGGTGAGATCCAAAGCCAACCTTATTCCATTGCATACCAATTTTTGAGAGAGAAATGTTGTGCTTCAGTACATAGCTAGTTGTTTCTAATAAACTCAGACTTAATAGCAGTGAATAATAAATCTTTCTTTGAGACTTAAATTTCTTGGTTTTAAATATATTCATTTTCATATGTTTTAACATTTTTAGGTTTATAAATAAATGACTGATTTTAGTTATAGAATTATATAGGTATGCCTAGAAAAGACTAGAATCTCTGATCCTTTTCTATTTTTTTAGAAAGTGCATAATTTACTACATTTATGAGTTCATGATAAATGAGGCTTTTTTCTTTATATAAATAAGGAACTGCACTCAAAAAAGCTTAAGTAATATACCTAAGGTCACACAGTTAGCTAGTTGCAGATCAGGGTTTTAAATCATGTTTTTTTATTCCATACTCTGTGGTTTTGATCAGAGCTATGATAATAGACACCATCTCTTCCTGAATTACAGTCTACTTTTTATCTTTGTGGTACTTTTTACTTTAGTTTTCAATACATCTGATCAGGCTAGATGAAATCTACTTACAAATGGCATTCTTACCCCTTTCACATAAATTTAAAATTACTGAATAGGCGAGACTAAATGAAAACTAATGAGAACTTTGTCATGTTAGTGTAAGTAAAAAAAAAAGTTTTTTCCTGGGGGCGAGGGGGGAAGTACTTAAAATTAAATATGAGTGATTCAGAAAGTACTTTGGCTCTAAAAGATATCATTTTGCTGTTTCACAAATCAGTTCTGTGTGCTGAAGTTGAGCGAGTTGAATCCTTGGTGATAGCAGTGAGATAAGCTGGCTTCAGGGTCAGAAGCCAGTCTGCCTCCATCCTGAGAGGTAGAGCAGAACAGGACACTGACCTGGAGTGGGGAGGTGGGGGTCAGGGTTTACTTTGAGGAGACATGCAGCAGGAGGGGCAGGGAGAAGCAAGTGCGGGGGACCACGTGTATTTTTTACTGCTGTGTTAATTTCTGTACACTAGCCATGCAGGTTGAAGCATGATGTCATTTTACTGGCTGGGACAGGAATTTAAGTGTGGAAATATGCCAGACCCACTCTTCCAGGCCTATTTGTGTGGGCCATCCTCAAAAGAGAGTTCTTGGAAAATCCAATGAGGTCCTGATACATGTAGCCAATTGTGAAGGCGGAGGGTTAGCTAAAGCGGGGCTGCAAGGCTGGAGTTGGGACTGAATTAAACCAGAAGTGAGCTGGATAAGGCAGGAAGGCACTGAACACAGCTGACAAAGTAGGAAGGAGGCTGGAAGTAGAGTCAAGCTGACTTAGGAAAAGCTTTTCAGATTAAGGCTTGGCTGGCTTTTTCCATGGTAACAATTCATGTGATGAGGGGCTGTTGATGCCAGGAACAAGGGCTTATGTCAGAGAAGAGGAAACATCAAACAATGTACTTCAATCATATTATTTGACAGGAAGCTTCAGGAGATTACATTGATTTTGTGTCAGCTCTCACCCCATCCCATCTTTGTTATTCTGTGTGTGCTACCACTGCTTGTATTTAAAACTCAGACATCCTGAACTACTTTGACATGTTGCTGTTCTGATTACCATCTTCATAGTGATTTTCTCATATTAATCAGGAGACACTTGAGTTGACCCTTTAATGCACATTCCATTTATGTTTCCCTTCTTAATTCTCATGCATGTGAGGCCAGGGGCAGAGAGAAAGAGTAATAATCATCCCACTTCCTCATTAGAGATGAGCACTTGGAGTCCTGTGGCAGAAGAGAACATGCATTTTTTTTCAAGACAGTATTTTAATGAGTAGTTGGGTTTTATAATAGTTAAACTATTAGTGACCCTTATTGTTCTATACCATGGTGCACTTTTCACAGGAGTTTCACTTGCATTATTCTAGTTGGTTCACAGCACATTTGTGAGATGGGCAGGATGTATTATTTTGGTTAGGTGACCATAGGCTATATGGCAATAGAGCCAAATCAAACTTAGCTTATACTTTTTGCAGCTCACTTCAGTTCCTGGTGTAATCTAGTAAACTTCTGGGTTAAATATACCTATGCAGTTTGATCTGGGACTTAAGCACACTGGTTCTAAGGGGAAATGCTATTCAAGTATTCCAAAATCAGCTTGTGAATACATTTAACTATCTGTTTTTAAATTGAGGATTGCTGTTAATGCAATAAGGAGGAGTTGGATTTCTGTGACCATTATATTATGTCCCAGAAGTCACTGAGATAGTTTGTGACAATATACTAAAGTTGTAATTTTTTAAAAGAAGGGACATATATCAAATGCTCCTTCAGTATAACCAGTACTTCAATGCTTTGAGCATAACAGGTTATCAATATGTATTAGTTCTTGTTCTCATTTCCTCATTCTGCCTTATCCTCTGTTTTTGTCTTACTGACATCTGTTGAGGTCCCTGTTATAAAAAGAGGTTGTAATCTATCCTTATTTTCCAGGGCTCTCATTTATTTACTAACCTTTATTGTATGTCAGAAACTATGGTGGGTAAAGGTTATAGAGATAAACGAAATATAAGCCCTGTCATTGAGAACTCATACTGATTCTATTATAAATGATAACACTCTGAAATGTCCGGTACTCTAGTGTGAAAACCAATTGTTCTGGTGTGTTCACAAAGAAATGAGGAGGTGCTTGCCGCAGCTAACAAGGCTTTGAGAGGGGGTGGCATGTAGGCCAAACCAGGCAGCATGAATAGGACTTTGCTAGGCCTGGGAGGGAAATAAGGCACAGCTGTCATAAGTGACAGCATGTGCAAGAACATGGGAGTATAAAATGCCACAAGATCTAAATTATGTCAGGTCTAAAGAATATGTGACTTAATATTCTTCATCTAGCATCTGCACTTTTGTTATTCATAGATTTTATATCTTACTGAGAGCGCTTAGCACATTTTATATTTTTCTTCTATTTTCTGTAGAAAATAATTTTCAAAAATAAGCTCTCCCTCTCAGTATTTTTGCCCATCCTACCTTCCTCTGGTACATTACAGTCTCTCTTAATAAGCCCAATGGTAATATTTTCCTCTCCCCATTTATACATCAGAGGATAAAAATCTATGCATACCTACAATTTTCCAAAAGACAGAGTAGGTAAATTGTCCTTAGCTCACCACACTATCCACTATGAACTTACAAGCTTCTCCCATTAGGTCTCTGCTTCAATAGTAGGTTGAAATGGGACTGAGCTGGCATCTTCTTGTAGAAAGGGTCTCTTTTGGACCCAAAGAGAACTCCTTCTTTGCCTGGTGGCTTCTTGGACATTGTGGCAGAGTCAGGCTCTCTATAGCTGTCCTCAGTCTCTGTTCAAAGTCCTGAGCACAGCACTCCCCCTGCCTATTTTCCAAGATTTTCCCTGGATATCATTCACTTGACAGTGCAGTGGCCCATGTGTTTCTCTCATTCCCAGCTGTGCAGAGGTCTGGGGACTGGCACCTCTTGATATTGAACATTAGTAGCTATTGGAGGACTAACTCCAGAGGCTCATGAGGCAAGGCCCAAGGAGTTGGGAAAAGGCTACCAGAGTGAGGAACAGGCGAAGGATGTTATGTTCCTACCTTTTTTGGGGCCTAGTGATGAGGAGTCCCCCAGATTTAGAGGTCAAACCACATGTAGTCCAAGAATATATTTCTTGCTCTGTCTTCATCAATATTAATATTTGTGTAAATTCCTTCAGGATTTTGTTATTCTGAATTGTTTTAATCCTTACTTCACATTGCTATTGTCTTCTTATCTATTTAACTGTCTGTCTATCTATGTACATATTCTATATTTTTAGCTTTTTCAATGAGAAGTTGGAAGTGAACATATCAGGTTCTCCTCCTTCTTCCACCACTTTAATTCTGTATGTCAGCAACCAAGGTTTTGATAATAATTAAACAGCATAAAGTTCTTTGCCAAAATTTGAAATAGTGCTCCATAGATTTATGTTCACAGGTTGATTTGTCAGACCCCTAAGCAGAGATAGAATTGACATTCTCAAAAAATAAAAAACAAAAAAACAAAGCAAGAAAAGAAAAAGAAAGAAGGCAACCCAATAAGACATTTCTTGGGAATGCAGGCTAAATTCATACATAAGGTAAAATTAGGTCAAGATTTTTCCACACAAATATGATGATTTTTTGTTCTATTTCTTTAAAAAAGATGCTATTGAGCTTTTGATGGAGACTGCATTAAATTTGTATATTGCTTTGGGTAATATGGACATTTTAACTATGTTCATTCTTCCAATCCATGAACATGGAATGTCTTTCCAATTCTTTGTCTTCTTCAATTTCTTTTGAAAATGTCTAATAGAAAATGTCTAATAGGTATTTTATTCTTTTTGTTGCAATTGCAAAAGAAATTATTTTTTCCATTTCTTTTTCTGAAATTTCATTATTAGTATATAGAAATGCAACAGATTTTTTTGTATGTTTATTTTGTAGCCAGCAACTTTACTGTATTCGCTTATTGTTTTTAATAGTTTTGGTGGTATTTTTAGGGTTTGCTATATAAAGAATTATGTCATCTGCAAAAAGTGGCAATTTAACTTCTTCGTTCTTAATTCAGATGCCTTTTATTTTTCTCTCTTGCCTGTTTGCTCTGGCTAGACTTCTAATACTACGTTGAATAACAGTGGTAATAGGGGGCAACCCTGTGTCATTCTTGAATGATTCAGTTTTTCACCATTTGCAACAACATGGATAGATCTTGAGATTATTATGCTAAGCGAAATAAGTCAAACAGAAAAAGTTGAGAACCGTATGATTTCACTGATATGTGGGATTTAAAACTGAAGGCAACAAAAGAACAAGACAAACA